TACAATCTTTTTTTGTACAGGGGGCGAGCGCTTCCTACCAAAGTTTTTTTCATACATAAGGCTCAAATCGAAGATTTCTAGTTAAGGGAGGAGCAATCCCATCTATTGTACCTTATTTATGGGTTGGTGAAGCACAATCTTATTATATACAAGGTACCAAAATTATCCTTACTATCAAAATAAAATGATAGATACTAAAGATCTGCATATCTGTTTTTCTTCTTTTCTTAATAAAAAGTACATATTTTATATCAAAATGAAGTTCCAATAAATCGTGTCAACTTATAATGAAGTTCAAATAAATCATGTCAATTTATATCGAAATGAAGTTTCAATATTATGACTGTGGTGTCTGGACCAAGTATCGTGCATTTCGACTTATAATTTCACAGAATATTTTTACACATTTCAACTAATTTCAAAAGACAACGGTCACCTCCTATCAATAACAAGTACTAGGTAACTCTTAATATTACTTTCTTTTCAAATATAGAAATATCTCTTCTGCTCTTTTTAACAAATTTAAAAACTAATCAAGGAAGTCACTTAAAATGAGAGGTATATAAGTCCTATTTTCAAAGTCAAACTGAAATGTTGATATTAGGCACGTAACTTCGTAGAACTTATGTGGCCTCATTTTATTTATTGCCTTCCAAAGATTTTAATAATTTAATTACAATGATCTTACTTTTTAAATTATAACTTCTATGACCATATAATAAATATTAAAGCCGAGGGTGTACTACTTGTTTCCTTTTGGTCTTTCTTTTGGATATAAGAAATGATTACTTGTCTTTTAAGCCAAAATTAATGTTCCTTTTATCTTAAAAATTAAAGTACAAGAGATTAACTCATAATCTTCAAACTTTGGCATTTTTCCATATATTCATTGATCACTTTATGACTAGACAAAGATTACATTAAGCATATAGTACACGTCAAAACTATATTTCTAATTGATTTCTTTTTTTTTTAGGTGTAATTGATAACATTTTAAGCATAAGCAGATTTACAATTTGAATTTAATAATATAATCATTGAATTTATGGACCATTTGAATTCTGAATAATTGATAATGTTTTAAGGATTAGACAGATTCACAGTTTGAATTATATGAATTTGAGATATCATTGAGTTATTGATTCGAAATTCAATATTTTAACATATTTAATATACTTCTTAACACGTAAGAATCTTAGCTAAAAGTAATATTGTATTTGACTTAACTCATCATAGCTTATATTGTACATTCATATCAATTGTAAAAGCATGTTTATCTTGCAATGTATATTTTGACGAAATGAAATTCTATATATACGTGTTTAAACTTTAATCATCTTACCACGCAATTAGTCGATCGTTTATTCGTATTAAAAACAACTCAACTCTTTTATACAAAAAGAAGAACCTTCTCTTAATTTATTCTACTTAATTATATATATTCTATTAGAATTTTTTTTTATGAATCATGATAGTATCTCACTCCCCATAAGCACAAATCTATTTTGAAGTTTTTTCTTCTTAAACTATATATGAAATTTATCATCTTAAAAATAAGATAAGTTATCTATTACATAAATATTTTATCTGAATCATAATAATATAAATATATTTGACGTTACACTTTTTTTTTTTCTTTCTTTCTATTATTAAAGTTACTTTTACTAATTAAATTTGTCCAATAAACAAGTTTTCCTTCTCTAAAGTTGCAAGCACTTAATTCCAATTGAAAGACGTGATATTTTTAATTTCTTATTCAATAATTGAAAGTAGGTACTCCATTAGGGGTTAGAATATTTATTTTATTTCAAAATAAATAAAGTATTACGTATCATTTTATTTTTAAACTTGTTTGTAAATTTAATTTAATTAATTAATTAATTAAAGAAAAGTCATTGAAGCAACACATTTTGCTTCCGTCACAACTCACAACAACCATTTCAAAATGCCCAAATATTGACGATCCTTTTCACGCTCCCATGAATCACGTGAACTACACGCGCATGTTATTTATACATTAGTTAATTACGTATTACATAAAATAATACATAAATTGATTCATACCTTATATAAATTTAAATCATGCAAAAATGTAAACTAGTAACCACACACTGTAACTGATGTGCTGAATATTTATACTTAACAGCAACTAATTAAAATGTTATTATATCAAATATGCTTAACATTAGTTTTCATGATCATTAAAGGTATTTAAAGATAATCATTTCTTTGACTAAGAGGTACATAAGAGTCGAAATACTTAACTTTTGATGTAAAATTAATATTCATTCTTTAATTTAATTATTAAATTTGGATATGTTTGGAAAAATGACAATCAAAGATAGAACTATTTTCACTCTTCAATAAATGATATTGTCATATAAAACAAGGCAAAAACATAAATTCTTCATACAAAAATTGAATTATTTATAATATTTATCTCATGCATTGGTGAACATTGGTCTCATTATTAATAGGAAGAATACTAACACCTTGTTTGGATGGTTGTTATCCGTTGGTTGTTACCTGTTAGTTTAAGTACAATGTTTGTTTTGATTGTTAATTAAATTTTATTGTATCGTAATGTTTAAATTCATCGTTAGGTAATAATGAAAATACTCATTTGTGTAACGACCTATTTGGTGTGATACCGTTACCTTAGTATTTAATAATAACAATTATATTTATTTTACCCTACCGTTTCTTAATAGCTATACCTAGTATCCTAGTTTTCTTATAGGTCTATCATTCAAATTATGAATGTGTGGCATTATGTAATGAAGAAAAACGATACAATCAACCCAAACGTTGTATTCATTAAAACAATATCGTACAATGTAATATAACACAACACAATACGATTAGAGGCGGAGCCAGAAGTTTCAATAAGTGGGTTCAAAATTTGTAGAAACAGACACATGAAGTAGCCGAAGGGGGTTCGACATCTACTACATATACATATAAAATTATTTTAACCATGTATAAATAATATATTTTTCGTCGATGGAGGTTCGGCTGAGCCCCCATTGTACAAGGTGGCTCCGCCCCTGAATACGATACAATACATTATGAAGCAATACGTAACAACCGTTCAAAAACCAAGTGTAATACTAATAATAATAAAAAGAGAGAACAAAAATGAGAAAAACTCACCCACACTTGATGCATGCATCAATTTTACTTAAGTAGCTCTAAGAACTATTGAATGATTAAAAGTTAGGAATTCCCTAAAAGTTATTTTAAGCTCAATGACAAACAAATTTAATTTTCGAAATAAAAGATTGAGCTAAAATAATTGGACTTGTAGCTTGTTGGACATAGCTTTGATAAAAGAGAGAAAATTAAAGCATTATATGGATGGAAGAATATCTCGATATTCGATTATATTGGATTGCCTAATGGTCAAGGGGGGTTGGTAAATAAGATAAACATAGTAATTTCAAAATAAAATTTAAATTAATTCTATTTTATGTTCGATTTGAAATAGTGTAATTAATTTTATTAAATGATGAAACTATTATTCATATAAAATAAAATAATTTCATAAATATCCCAACCTTGTTCATACCTAGTTTTCTTTCATTAAACAATGAAATATTATTATTGAGTTTTAAATATATATTTTTAAGCTGCACTGTAATCAAGTACTAATAAAAATATAATACATAAATATATATTTAAATTTGGTAGTAACCAGTAACTAGCTGCTTCAATTTTGAATATGCATATTCAGATATTTTAATTTTTTTCTCTCACTATATTAGTTGAAACACTTTAATTTATAAAATGATTATTTAGACACTTATGAAATTTATGTGTCATGTTAACAGTAATGAAACACAACGAAAACGAGTTAAAATATTTACTTGTCAGATAAAATCTAATTTAAGTATTTGTTTATGTCTACTAATAAATATTCATATATTTTTTTTAGCACATATGATGCCGCTTACTTGTCTTATTCACACTATATACTATATGGTTGCAAAGAAAATATTTTTATAACACCAATGACATTTATAATCTTGGTATATTCACAAAATACGAGTAAATTTCTTCTTAAAGAACATTTTTTTTGACAGAATTTGAATCTAAATTGTTAACTTCTAGGGCAAAGTTTCTCTAGACATATATAAAAACAAAATTTATTTCCATGAATATTCTAGAATCCAATTATCAATTCATTACTCTATTAATTAAACTAATATAAACCCTCATTTGTTTTAGTTTATTTATGCAATATTACAATATTGTTCCTTTCAAATATAGGCGATAGTGAAATGGTTGAAATTCCTATTATTTTTAACGAGTTTGAGATTAGTTGATTTGAGCTTTGAGTATCATTTTTTTCTAGAAATAAATCCTGCAACATACAGATACAGATCGATCGCTCCAAGCTTTGTGAATGAAAAAAATCCTTTAAAAATAAATCATGTAATGCGCAAGTCCAGATTAGTTGATCTGAATCTTGGGAATGATTTTCCCCCCCGCAAATGGATCCTATCATGTGCGAGTTTAAATAATTCGACTCGAGCTATAAAAATGAAAACAAACACCATTAAAAGCAATTAATTAATTGAATTTCAACTTAGATTCTGAACATTATACGAGTAAAAAGAAATGGAACATTGTTTTATCCTTGATGTCACCACCATGCCAGCTAACACACAATTGTTTTTTAAAAATGGCTACATCCTAAATCTTACCGTCTGATGGCGCGTGCAGCCATTAATGGCCACACCTCCAACGATTATTCCCATAATCAAATGGTGGTCGCCGGAGACACCAACCACCACCCACCCCCGGTGTTGGTATCAGGGACCCCTCACCCCCACCCCTACCCCTACCCCTAACCCCCACAAAGAAAAAGACTTTTTTTTCTTTTTTCTTGTTAAAATAGTGGAAAAATGACAAGTTCTCATTCTCAAGATTCTAATCTTGTTTCAACTGTAGCACATGATAACAACAACAATAATATATGTATGTATTGGTATAGATACCCATTAACCCCATTTTCAAACATACATGTAGAAATTTTCTCTCTTTCTTTTTCTCTCTCTCTGTGTATACAAACTTCATACATATTCATATATGCAAAGTGAGTGATCTTTTTTTTGGAGAATCGGGTATTGCTTTATTGATTTGATGGTATTGGAATTTTGATTTTCAAGATTCCATTCAATTTTTCTTCTATGGGTGTTTAGAAGGATTTAAGCTTTTAGAGTTTTGAAGTGGGGAAAATAAGGTTTCTTGAAGACTTTGCTGTTGTTGGCTTTAAGGTTAGTTTACCTTTCTCTGCTCTACTGTTTTTGTTTGGTATGAAATAGTAAATCTTTTTAAGCATTTAATGAATGAAATGGGTAATTTTGATTTGTTGTTTGAAGTTTTATATCCATATTTGGTAGTTTTTTTAAACCCCTTTAGTTCAAAATTGAGTCTTTACCAGAAAAGTCATTCTTTTTGTTTATTGTCTGATTGGTTAGAAATTTGTGAAATGAAGCAGCTATAAAGGTTTAAATAAGTTACTAGCTTGTTTGACCTTTCACCCCTTTTCTCTGTAAGGCTTGAATTGAACTGTACTCTTGCCTGAAAAAAATAATAGTTAGAGACTTTTTTCATGGTATCTACTGATTTAGTTTTATGTAGTGCATGGTTTTTGGACAAGAAATTTGAGAAAATAAAGCTGTTTTAAATTGTTTTTGGGTGTTAAATTGAACTCATTTTGATTGTTTCTTAGACTTTGATGATATTCTTTGATTTGTTGAGTTCGAATTCAAGGGAAGGTCAACTCTTTTTGATTGGCTTTAGCTGCTGAATTTGCTCAATACATGAATCTAATGTTGATCATCTTGGTTTGTTGAATTCGTTTCGCTTCTTTCTTTCAACTCCTTTCTTGGATGGTCAGGGAACAAACATACACCAAAAAAAAGGATAGGGAGTTGTTGAAATGGCCTGTTATTGGAAGTTGATGATAAAAACAACTACTTGTAATTGATGTTTTTACATTCGTACTCAAAATTATAGATGCTAACTCCCACAGGTTTTTTTCATTAGCCGCGATCACTTTTGGAATCAAATCTATGTTTTCTCCATCTTGCACACCTCCTCATTCCCTGGATTGAAAGTAGTTTCTGGTCATATCCTGTTGATACCTTTGTGGAATTGTTTTTCTGTCAACGGAGAATGGAATACCATGGATTTGATCTTCTGGAAATCATTGAGATGTGTGAGAATTATGTGGGAAAATAATCATTACCAAAATGTGTGTTTGAGGATATATGTACCTGGAAATTTAAGATCTTTGTTTCTTTGAGCCCCTCACCTCATGACAATATACGCACAATCTATTCCAATGTTACATATTTTGCTTTTGCAAGAAGTGCGGCTTATCATCTAAACTAATACTGATGTATGTCTATTGGATTAGATAATATTGGTACTAGTGGTGTAAAAGAAATTCAGTATTCCTTGTAATTTTCTGTGGATTTTGTTCCTTGTAATTTTCTGGTGCTTCTCATTTCTTGCCTCTTTCTTTATGCACCATAAAAATTAGCATATGCCATTGTCTAAGTCCTTGGCAATTATTAACTGGCTTGTTTTTTTTAAAATGGCAGTCCAAAGGCAATGAATTCTTCAACATATACTCAATTTGTTGCCTCTAAAAGGATGGGTATATGTGACCCAATCCATCAGATTGGCATGTGGGGAGATTTCAAAGGTAGCAGTTTCCCAGATACCTTGATTCTTGAAGTCGAGAATTGCCTAGAGAATGAGATGCCTATTATGGAGAAAAGACTAGAGAATGAGGTACACTTTTTTCCATTTGACTTTCATTTTCACATATTTCTTTGTTTTAGTTATGCAGCAAAATATGCTAATTAACATATTATATGTCTAGATAGAGGAACCATCACAAGTGACTGTTGGAACGTCTAACAGATATGAACCTGAAACAACTAAACGTATTGATAAGGTAAATATATTTTCTAAATTTGTCTGCTTTTCTTTTTACCCAACTCCCAGTGGGTATTTGTTAAATGATGGTGGTGATGGTTGGATCACTGCCATGTATTAAAATCCTCTTTTGTTGAGAATCGCCATTCTCATGCGCAAGGAATCATTTTCCTTGTGAGAAATTTTTATTCTGCAATATATTTACTTTTTCTCAGTTATTTGGGAAAGAAAAAACCAATCATTAATGTCGTGAGTACTAAAGTTGGCTTGAGTCATATCTTCAATATCTTTGTTCCTTTTTAGTGAAATGGAACTAAGGCCACCACACATGTATTGTAAACTTTGCCAGAGCTGTGAGTCTTTGGATTCCTGATTACGCCGCATTTATGTATTTGAGAGGTCTTTGTATCCTCACATATGATTTTGAGCTCTTGCGTTTGTTAGATTTTGATATTGTGCTATTTTAAGAGCCTGATATTGCTGCTTTGTAACTGACTATTGGTGGAGAAAATTGAGGTATGAGGTGTGGTAAGTGTTTGCAAGATTGTTGCGGTATTAGATGCCCTTAGCTTAAGAAGATGAACTAGTCAATCTTCTCGTTCAGCATACCAGGTATCAGGTTATGAAGATAGAAAGCAGTAAAATTAATCATGAGAATTATTGATGAGAGGGAAGGTGAAGAAAATGGGTTGAATACTGAACTTTCGCAACAACTTTCATATCTACAATAGCATATGGTAGTATGGTTAAAAGACCTTAATTCGACTAGAGCGTTAAGATTCCTTTCTTTTTTCTTGCTGCTTTCAGAGGGAAATGAATGAAGAAAAAGGGGTTCACCGGAGTTTGTTTCATGAAAATGGTTTTATTTATCTTTTTGTTCACTTGAAGGTCTTTCTTCTCTATTTTATTTCATAGTATCAAAGCCAACAAGAGAATTAGGGTGCTAAAAAAGAATCCAAAACCGACTTGTTCAAAAAATCAAACAGTTCCTGTCTGTTTATTTTCCATTTTATGACCAACGAATCCTTTTTGTTATATGCCTATACCCACCCAGTTTATTATGTTCTTGAATATGCATGTTTTGCGGCTTCCTTGCACCGATTCAAGCACTTCTCTTTGTAGTTTTCTTATATACTGGATTTGTATCATCTGCATGATTGCTTCAGTTTCCTGTTTCATTTTTCATTGTCCTTTTCATGGCACTGAAACCTCACATCTTTAGATAGAAATTGCTTAATGCCGTACCTTCATATACAGGTGCGTAGACGCCTTGCACAAAACCGCGAGGCTGCTCGTAAAAGTCGTTTACGGAAGAAGGTATCACTTGAATTTTGTTCATTCATTACCCAGAATTTCTCTGCCATTTTGTTACGTCTGTTCAAACCTTGTTCTGATTGAGACATAAATATTCTCAATTCACATTGTGTTACTCAGGCCTATGTCCAGCAGTTGGAAAATAGTAAACTGAAGCTGCTTCAGTTGGAACAAGAACTAGAACGTAATAGACAACAGGTAAAGGAAAATTTGCTTCTACATCTGAGATATTGGATCTTTTCTAGTTATTGATCTCAAAAACATTTTACTTTCTGGGATGAAATAATTATAACAAATCAACAAACATTTGCAACAGGGTCTGTATGTAGGTGATGGTTTAGATGCTAGTCAGATAGGTTGCTCTGGAACAGCAAATTCAGGTGTGTAGATTGATGCTGACTTGTTGTTGATTGCTAAAAGAAGTATATTGTGCTTGGAATGATATAATACAGTTCGTGTGGATTCATTGCTCAATCTATTTGAGTATCAATAATAGTAAGTAGATTGATATGTACAAAGTGGATTTCTTGATTTGATTTTCTAAATTTTGTAAATGGAATTTGATTTTACAAATATTTGCTCAGTAAGGATTGTAGTTTGCCCCTATTTTTTGTTATTGTTGAATACTTTTTCAAATAAGCTTTGGTTGTGTATTTGCTGCTAAGCTTTCTTTTTTTTTTAAAACAAATTTGATCACATCACTATTTATAAAAATTACTTGCATGAAGGCAATGTCTTAGATGGATAATTATTGAAGACGGCATGTATTTGCTTCCCTGTTGGAATTATAGTTTTTTCGTTCCTTTTAACTACACTTCTCATTTGATGAATATAATGTTCTTTAGCATTTATCAACCAGTTTTTCAATAACTAAATACTTCTCCTTCTTCCTCCTTTTCCTCCTCTTGTGTTTCTCCCTCCTTACCTTGATCACTTTCTTTACCATATGAAAAATATCTTAAATGAAAAAGGGAAATAATCAAGAGAATCTCGGCTAGAAACAACATATCGAAGAAAAGAGAATCTGCTACACAGAACTATGATCTTTGTCGGAGTACCTTAATAACTTTTGTAAGATGCCACCACTATGATTCAATTACATGGTCAGAAATGATAGTTATATGCATGGGAACATATTCTTTTGATATTTTGATTTGCTGTAGTTGTCTTGATGCATTCTTATTATCATACCATTTGCCTTTAAATTTTCAACTTAATTCACTTTCCTTTGCTCTTCCTCTGTATTGTTTCATGTCCAATTTCTTGTTTGAAATCATGTTATTTCACTGTTAATGCAAGTCATTGTCAACCTCCGACAACACCTGTTCAACTATTGGACACCCTCATTATAATCAAACCTGATAATTTCATCCATTATGATAATATGGGTGCTCAAAATAACTTAACAAGTTCAAGATTTCCAATTTCGTGACTACCATATGATAATCCACATTTCCAACTTTAAAACCCATCCAATATACATACCCGAGACATGCATAAGCTAAGAAGAAAGTTCAAACTTACCTCAATGAAGAAAAACCCTAACCCTTCCACCTTGAGTTCTTGAGAGGCTTCTTTGAAAATCCTAAAATTCAACGATATTCATGAGTAAATCCGCGTATTAGGTGAAGAAAGTCATTGAGCCTAATGTAGTTATTTAAATTTTATTTATATCATGAAGCATGCATTGTCAAAGTCTAAGAGTGAAAGGAAATGTTGGTTCACTTGTCACAAGTTTAAGGCATCAGTGTACCGTCACAAGTTTAAGGCATCAGTATACCGTCTCCTGTGCCCCAAGGTTGGGGTGGGGGGTGACAAACTAGAATTTGAAGAGATTGTTGGCCTTTTGCTCACTTGTACAAAATCCCAGCACTATCTTTGTGCTTTTTATGAATACAATTATTACCATTTAAAAGAAATTGTCAAAAGGCCTTAGATATAGAAATTCTCGATTAGAAAAAGAAGCTTTTCCCTAACTTATGATTCTGCAGGAATAGCTTCTTTTGAAATGGAGTACGGCCATTGGGTGGAAGAGCAAGATAGACAAACAGATGATTTAAAGAATGCTCTGAACTCCCAAATGGGTGAAATAGAATTGCGCATTCTTGTCGAGGGTTGCTTGAATCACTATTTTGATCTCTTTCGCTTGAAAGCTACAGCCGCAAATGCTGATGTTCTCTACCTTATGTCTGGCACATGGAAGACATCAGCTGAGCGTTTCTTCTTGTGGATTGGGGGGTTTCGCCCCTCCGAACTTCTAAAGGTGATGATTGATCTAGTATAACTTGCCATAACAGTGTCTAATATCATGTTCATTGAAAAATCTGTCCATTGATGATTCAGCGCTCACACATATATGCAAGTTAATCTGGGGTCACATATGGCCACAATGCTACAATTTCACCTTAAAGTTCTGTTAAAACTTTGTCTGTGTTGTTTGGATAAATATGAATAATGGGTGATGTGATTTTGTTTGGTTAGTCCTCCCTGAGATCCTGTGGTCTTCAATAACTTATCTACTGGCTTACTCCATTCATTTTACCTTTTTCTCTTGTCATAATTGCTCAAGGATTCCTTGCCAAATTAACTCCCTTTTTTAATAATTTGATAAGTCATCTAAAATTTTCATCAATAAACACACGATGGTCTCAGAAGTATGTACAAGTTGTTTATGCGACTCCACATGAGTCTACAAGCATTTATCAAGTTTGCCAGTCATCTATACAACACTGTATTCTCTCTTTTAACATAAATACAATACAAATAAGAAAATCTTACTATTTTGAAACAATCTTGTATTTCTTTCATTCCATGGCAACAAGAGGCATAATTGTGATTTTCCCCAGGCTGTCCTTTTTTCACTGCCGATTTCCAGTTCGTAGTTGCTTCCTACACAGTCCTTGGTAACACCCACGATCTGTTGAACAATGGGAATACAACAGTTTACAGACACGAACCACAAACTCACAAATATTATCCTACTCTTTCTCAGATAGTCCGCTGTTAGTATGACTATGCCATCCCTTACTGCACACCTAGAAAGAAGCAACTCTTCAATTTTAAAAATAATTTTGTAGCCTTGGTGTTCCAAACACTTTTTTCTTTTTGAAAATGGTAATGGTGCTTGGTGTTCCAAACACTTTTGGACACCTCCCTCTTAACTACCCTATCTGAGGACAGCTCCATATGTAACTTATATTAACTGTAGAAGTGAAAATTGTTCTGAGAGGGTTTACAATTCTTTTCTTGCCTAATATCAAAAGGATTTGGTCATTTGAGAGGACTTGGTAAGAACCACTGCCTGATTGATGCTCGATACCTGGTCAGTGTCTAATCCCTTTGAGGAGTTGAAGCAAATCCATCAGCAGATCTTATTTTGTTTTTCCGTAGCTTTTTTTTTTTTTTTTGGAGGTCAACTATGATTGGTGGTGTTTAATTTCTGATGTCTTTTGTTAAGTGAAGTGCTTATACATGTTCATTTGGTTCCTACAGGTTCTCACGCCACATGTGGAACCATTGTCAGATCAACAAATCCAGGAGGTTAGCAACCTCACCCAGTCTTGTCAGCAGGCAGAAGATGCATTGTCCCAAGGAATGGTAAAACTCCATCAGATTCTTGCTGAGGCTGTTGCAGCTGGTACACTAGGCGAAGGGATTATCCTTCCACAGATGACTGCTACCATTGAGAAGTTGGAAGCTCTAGTTAGATTTGTAAATCAGGTAACATGTCAATTTTTTATTTTGCTACATTTTTTCTAATTGCAATTCTAGTCTTACGGAATGGTTTTTGCAAGTTTACCTGGGATACATCGCACGTAAATATGTGTACACACTATAACTTAGCAATGCAATTTTTACACAAAAGAAATGATCACATGGCTTGATACGTGCAAAATTCACATAACCTGGGGAATGATGTTTTTTGTTCTAGAAATTAGAAGTGGAGGTTTTTATGCTTTTGGCCATGTAGAAGGCAAAATCAGTAAGGTTAACCATTAATGTGAGAACCTTTGAAGTGTATGAAACTATTTGACATGCTTTTTACTCGTGGTCATACTTGACTCATCTGCCAACTTAGTCTGGTTTGCCTTTCTGGTAACAGGCAGATCATCTTCGCCAAGAAACCCTTCTACAGATGTCCTGCATACTGGCTCCGCACCAATCAGCTCAGGGTCTCCTTGCCTTAGGAGAGTACTTTAAACGTCTTCGTGCTCTTAGCTCACTTTGGGCTGGTCGTCTTTCTGAACCGGCTTAAAGAAGTAAGAAACAACCGTTATATATGCTACCTGGGGTTTTCAACTTTGCCAAGCAAAGCTGTGTGAGCTAAAATCTGCCTTGTGTTGCCGGTAAAAACTATGAGTTGGCGCTCATTCAGACACTGCTTCATCTCTGATTGAAATCTGTATATAAGTTCTGCTATGCTGTAATTGGAACTTGGAAATTGCGTTTATTTTCTTTTCACATTGGTTTTGATGATTGTAAATCAATATGGTAGAGGTTATTGGCAGAGTCTCCTGATGAAAGTTACTCCAAGTTGTGCCTCTCTGTATTTAATTGTCTATGATGGGAGCCAAGCAATTTTGAATGATTTGCAGATAAACAACTGCTATAAAATGAAAGAAAACAATGATGGCATGAGCCAATATTTTGTTGTTACTATATTATGAATTATGTTGTAGAAAATTTGCACATACATGTTTACTTTATGAAGATTTTCTTCCAAAAAGATCGTTCATGCTCGGACCATGGAATACAGTTCACTGTTTTACTCTAAGGCTTGCTTCTCCCCTTGTAGTCGAATAATTGACGGTGTCTGACTTTCCCTATTTCTGTAATCACTTGTCATTCCGATTATTTCATTCATACACCTGCACTTTCCTCATACTGTAGTCACCTATATTTGTATCTCTTGAAGGAAACCAATAAAAATTGTTTTTGACTTATTGAGTCATGGGTTTGAGCCGCGGAATGAGATACTTTCTGAACCAATCTTATAAGTATTGTCTTCATTTCTATAACCTATTTCAGTATTTCTTCACATCAATTTTGCCATAAGTTAAAACACATCTCTTTACTCTACTTCTATTTTCCCCCCCTTACAACAACAACAACATACTCAGTGAAATCCCACAAAGTGGGGTCTGGGGAGGGTAAAGTGTACGCAGACCTTACTAGATCATATACTGCAAAGCACAATTTCTAACTAGATCATATTCTTTTAATAAATCTACTAATCCAATAATTGAAAAAAGGTATCAAAATGGAAATTTTATTTGATAATGCATTTATTTCATTTGGAGGAATAAAATAAGAGGAATGAAGCATCACTTGCTTTCTTTTACATTGTTATTGTAGTGGAATAAGCTGTGTCCTATGGTTGAAAGAGAATCAATCAACTGAGCAATCTCACAACAATATGCCATATGCTCACAACTTTGAAAGAGAATAGTCCAATGCATCAACTAGGAAGTCTGCACAACAAACAAGTTTTATTGATCAAAATCACAACATATAATATATTTCTTGCAAATGAAATAGTATCTGGAAACAAATGAGACTTGAAAAGTTTCCATATTGGTTTGCTTGGATTTCATATTAAAACGGTTTATGATTATTTAAAACAGACAAACAAATTGAAACGAGGGAGTAATTTGAATTTGTTGCATGTTTGCAAATTTGGATTGTGTTAGTATCAATGATTTTCAAATCAGATGGAATAGTCTGAAAAAAGGTGATATATTGAACCAGTAGGTAAAGAGGTTGGTTACCTGCATCATCCTTGCTGAAACACATGGGAGGTTTTATTCTGAAAACATTTCCATGTAAACCACCTTTCCCTACTAGAACACCAAGATCTAAACATCCAGAAGCAAGTGCATCGTTAGTATATGCATGACGTTTTTCAATTACTTTTCAATTCATCAGTTGATTACACAAACCTTTAAGCTTCTCAAAGAGAACTCCAGTTTCTGCCTTGGCGGGTGTCTTTTCTTTTCTGTCAGTTACCAGTTCGATACCGAGCATTAAACCCCGGCCTCTCACATCTCCAATTACTGGCAGTAATAAGGTATGTTAGTGATGATATTAACCATAAGATGCATGTCATTAGGACGAAAACTAAAGGAGCACAAAAGCACACGACTTGGAAACAGAAATCATATCAACTCTCGATCTGCCTAGGCAACGATATAACCTCATGTAACATACCAGAATCACTATGTTATAGGCTACCGACCTAAAAATGGCCATCAATGAAGCAGAACATGGGTGACAGAAGCTACTAAATAGTACAGTGCAAGCAAAGGTTCCTAGATTCATGGAGATGTAGAACAACATATAAGTTATCATGCTTGCTTATCCATCACGAGAGTTATTCCATCTGATTTGGCCTATGAATATGGAAGCATATGTTTCATGGTTGTTTGAGTAATAGCAATGAGATTTCCCAATATCATGCTAAGAATAGGTAGGAGTTCCAGAAGAAGATGCCATTTGTTTAATGAGAAATAAAAGTAACATCGAAAATTCAGTTGGCTGAAGCTAGATTCAATGCCAAACAAGCTCAGGAAAGGCTTCTCAATTTTGCTTGAATGGAAAGGAAAGAAAATCACATATCTAAGACTTGAAAAATCTTACAATGAAAGGTCTGCAGAAGTTTCATAGAACTGGAATACGAAGGAAGCTGTGAAGATGATTCAGTTCTTCCTCATACTTCTAACAAAATGATTCCAGGATATCAACTATATAGACCGAAAAAATATACATCTTTCCAGGGATTAATAGCAATCCGTGTTTGCTAATACATGCATGTCTGAGTTTTGAAAGCACAGAAGAGAGAAGACTTACTGTCGTATCTTTTCTCTAGATCCTTCAGCCGTCCAATCAAGTGTGAGCCAACCTCAGCACAATGCTTTTGGCGTTGTTCCTTTTCAATAACTTTGAGTACTGCATGTCCACCAGCAGAGCAAACAGGGTTTCCACCAAATGTATTAAATTGTATCTTTTGAGCCATAACACTTGCAATTTCTGGTGTTGTGACAACAGCTCCAAGTGGTAAACCATTTCCAATACCCTGAAAAATAATAACATTGAGAGTAACAGACTATCACACAAGATCAAAAGACATGATATGTAACCAACAAATAAGGTGCACTCTTGTGAAGACCAAAAGCTCTTGACATAGGGAGGTCCAGTCCATTCTTGTCACCTCAACTTGCATCCTACTCGAGACTAAAGCAAACGGGATGACAACCTCGTCTTAAAAGAAGATATAAGAAGCGCCTTTCTTAGAGAGAATATTGGGGATGAAAGTCTTGGGAGGAGGGAGGGTCTACGGAGAAAATCTTCCATAAAAGGGACAGGGCTAAGCATTTGGAAATTGAAAAGGTGAAAAGAGGTGATTGCAATACCTTTGCCATTGTAACTATATCAGGAGTCACACCCTGTGTCTCAAAACCCCAGTAGTGGCTCCCTGTTCGACCGAAGCCGGTTTGTACTTCGTCAGCAATACATACACCTCCCGCTTTGCGAACAATATCATAAACCAACTTCAAGTATCCAGGGGCTAATTCAACTGTTCCTCCAACCCCCTAAAGCAAACAACCAGAATTTTATCACTTGAAATGTTCCAAGTCCTTCTAGTCTATACTCGAAGCAGCATTTTGCCACATGACAGAAATAACAAGTCAAACCTGAATTGTTTCAGCAATAAAACCAGCAACCTTTCCTGAAGTACCATGATCAATGTGATCCTGTACATCTTCAGCATATCTTTTAGCATCCGATCCGAATGCTCCACGATATGGGTTAGGATTTAGAACATGATGGATTTCACCCTGTAAATCATCAAAGAAATTAAAGAAAAGCATAGTGAATATCAAATTCAGCTGGCATGGAATATTTGACATCTCTCATCAAAGTGTACACTATATAAACTTCTAAAATTGAAAAAAGGAAGATACACTTCAAATCTCTTCATGCTTTGGTTATGAGTATACCTGTGGAATAGGGTACTTCCATGTGTTAAGAGCAGTTAGCCCAATTGTGTTAGAGCTTCCACCATGATATGCATTCCTCAAAGCAATCATATTTAAGTGACCACTGTACAATCGTGCCATCAACATTGCTAATTCATTTGCTTCTGTCCCTGAATTTACGAAATATACTACCTGCAGTTTAAAACAAGCAAGTCAGACAGACAAATATTAAAAAGCTCCATAGGGGGATACTGATTGAGCTCATATTTCAGAAGATAAACCTCGCATACATGAACCAATCCAAATCCACAGCCATACTGCCCTTGATACAGAATTTGGTTTGTTTTTAGTGGCTTCAGGTAACTATCCACACTCAGACAATTGGTCCTCACTACCTTGCAATTATCCAATCTCCAAAGGGAGGGATTAAAAATCTAACAATTCAATGGATACAGGGTGCTTTGACACTTACCTCTCTTTCCTTTTCTGGCTTAACCTAGTGTTTATCTTGTACTAATATATCGGCTTAGTTCATAATAATATGAATAACATGCCTATATAGATATTCCATGTTCTTTTCAAAAGACAACAAGACCAGATACTTTGACAACCAGGGCATTTTTGGCAAACAACTTAGTCCATATTCCAACTTCAGTCTTTAGTCTCATGAACACGTGGTAGAAATTGATTGCACACATTACTACAAGGAAGTTAGAAGTTATTCTAACCTCACCAGAACTTCTCTACGGTTACCTTAATAAAATTGTATAAGCTACAAGAGAAAACGAAATCACGGGATTCTAGAATCTTATATCCACATACTGGGTACAAACTTTCAAGGTGTAGATGGACGAGGACCACTAATCATGGGGAAAAAAGTTTGAATTAGCTATCGTATAGAAGTAAGTTAAAGATTCCATTCTGGATCAGCAAAGGAACACGCCAAAAGAAAGTATCGATCAAGGGAAGGATGTCAATGAAAGCCAATTTAAGATATAAGAAAAACATATCATGCTAAACCTAAACCATTGGAAGGGTAACAATATCAATCTTTCTGTAGAGAAACTCAGCCTATAATCTTTATGCACATAATATAGCTAAAGAAAATTTGCACCAAATAGACTATTATGGTAGTGGTAGTATTTTAACCTTCAGGTTTCCTGGCATCTTAGATGCCAATGCTTCGGCAAAATCGCCTATTGCATGATGTAGATATATGGTTGTAGCATGTTGAAGAAGCTTGCTTTGCTCCATGATGGCATCCAATACTTCAGGATGACAATGACCACATGAGACAGTAACTATTCCAGCAAAAGCATCAAGATAACGTTTTCCATTCTCATCATACAAATATTGCATCTTCCCTTCAACAATATTTAGCTGTTTGAGATGTAAAAAGAGTTATTAGGGAGAGCTTAAAAGAAATCAATTATAGAGCTCTCGCATACCATCATTAACACTTTTTTTTTTTTGAAATGGATTTACAAACATGAACACTATTAGCCATTACTTAAGCCACTTATTCTTCTTCTTAATTTGGTTAGCTATCTAATACAAGTAGTTAAGTACAATTAAAAAGCAGGAATATCTCTCAAATCTTATAAATTAAGAAAAAAGATAAAGAAATCAGAATCAGCCTAACAACAGAATATCAGATGTCCATCAAAGCACTAGCATAGAGTT